AGTTGGAGGTTGCTGTGAGCTATGATGCCATGGCACTCTACCCAGGGGGACAGCTTGAGGCTCTGTCTCAAAAATAAAAATAAAATAAAATAAAATAAAAACTAGCTGGACGTTGTGGTGGCTACCTATGGCTGCAGTTACTTGGTTGGCTCAGACAACAGGACTGCTTGGGCCCAGGAGTCTGAGGTTGCTGTGGGCTAGGCTAAGGCCACTGAACTCTAGCCTGGGCAAGAGTGTGAGACTCTGTTTCAAAAAAAAAAAAAAAAATCAGCATTGGATGGCAAGTACTGTCTGTGTTTCCCAAAAGAAAAGGGAGTAAGCTCAGTGTACCTATTATTCTGTAGCTGCCTAACAAAGTACACCAAGGCCTCTGAGTTAACAATTACAAACATGATTTGGCTTTGCTTTTCCAGGATCATGTGCCACTCATAACAGTCACCACACTGACCATGCACAAGAAGAGTAAGTAATCTTAGCAGCGGCCCCTGCACTTGAACAACTCTAGCAAAAACCTTGGCCTTCCATCAGGACCCAATAAACTAGAAAGACACAGAACTGTTATTTTTCAGCAAGGCAAGTTTATTTATTCCCACACGAGATAATCAAACATGGCCACCAGGGACAGCCTGGGACAAAATGTGCTTGACTGGCTATAGATAAACCAAAAGTCTCCAGTCTGAGAATAAGCTCAGTTTTCTGCCCCTCTCAGCTCACGTCTTCATGTGTATTTTTGAAAGGAACAAAAGCAAATGTAAAGGATGCACCACATGCTGAAGGAAGACTTAGAAAATACAGGCAGCTCTGACAGCAGCACAAAGGCGAATAGAGCAGATAAGATACCCCAGAATCTAAATTCAGGACAGGGTGTGGTAGCTGACATCTATAAATCCTAGCACTTTGGGAAGCTGGGCTGGAAGGATCACTTGAGGTCAGGAGTTTGAGATCAGCCTGAGCAAAAGCATCTCTACAAAAAAATAGAAAAATTAGCCATATGTGGTGCCAGTAGCTTTGTAGACAAAGCTACTTTGGAAGGCTGAGGGAGGAAGATGGCTTGAGCCCAGGAGATGGAGGTTGCAGTGAGCTATGATGATACCACTGCATTTTGCCTGGGGTATAAAGCAAGACCCTGCCTCAAGAAAACTAATCTGGCTCGGCGCCTGTGGCTCAAGTGGCTAAGGCGCCAGCCACATACACCTAAGGTGGTAGGTTCAAATCCAGCCCGGGCCCGCCAAAACAACAAGCTGCAACCAAAAAATAGCCAGGCGTTATGACAGGCGCCTGTGGTCCCAGCTACTTGGAAAGCTGAGGCAGGAGACTCGCTTTAGCCCAGGAGTTGGAGGTTGCTGTGAGCTGTGATGTCATAGCACTCTACCCAGGGGGACAGCTTGAGGCTCTGTCTCAAAAAGAAAAGAAAAGAAAAAAGAAAAAAAGAAAAAAAGAAAACTAAGGCCGGGCAAGGTGGCTCATGCCTATAATCCTAGCACTCTGGGAGACCAAGGCAGGTGGACTGCCTGAGCTCAGGAGTTTGAGACCAGCCTGAGCAAGAGTGAGACCCTATCTCAAAAATTGCTGGGTGCTGTGGCAGGTGCCTTGTAGTTCCAGCTACCAGGGAGACTGAGGCAAGAGAATCACTTTCAGCCCAAGAGTTTGAGTTTGCTGTGACCTATGCTGCCTTAGCACTCTACTGAGGGCAACAAAGTAAAATTCTGTCCAAAGAAAAGAAAAGGAAAGAAAACTAATCTAAGTCAGGCATGGTGGCGCACACCTGTAGTCCCAGTTATTTGAGAGGCTGAGACAAGAGGATCACTTGAGCCCAAGTTTGAAGTTGCTGTGAGCTATGATGCCATAGCACTCTCTGAGACTAAAGATAAGAAAGAAGCTAGTGTTAATCCATTTAACAGTCGTCACTGGGCCAGCCAGGATAAAGCAGCAAGGTAGGCAAAGTTTCTGTTCTCATGGCTGAGAAACAGGCAGTAGACAAACATATAACTAAATAAGACAATTTCAGGTAGTAAATGAATTAACAGTAGTTTAAAAATAATGTGAAAATAAGACCAAAGCTGGAAGACTTAACACCTGATTTCAAGATGTATTATAAAGCTACAATAATCTAGACCACTGGCAGAATAGTGGTTGCCTAAGAACAAAGGAGAAACTATAAAGAACTCGAGAATGGGGGGCGGTGCCTATGGCTCATTAAGTTGGGTGCCGGCCCCGTATACCAAGGGGTAGAGGGCTCGAACCTGGCCCTGGCCAAACTGCAACAACAACAAAAAAATAGCTGGGCGATGTGGTAGGCACCTGTAGTCTCAGCTACCTGGGGGGCTGAGGCAAGAGTATCACCTAAGCCCAGGAGTTGGAGGGTGCTATGAGCTGTAACGCCACAGCACTCTACCAAGGGCAACATAGTGAGACTCTGTCTCAAAAAAAAAGAAAACTTGAGAAAACATGAAGTGATAGATTATGTTCACTACCTTGACTGATGGTTTCCTGAGGGTATACATTATGTCAAAACTTATCAAACTGGACATTTAAATATACACAATTTGTTGTATGTCATTTATACTGCAATAAAACTGGTTAAAAATAAAACAGATGGCTCGGCGTCTGTGGCTCAAGTGGCTAAGGCGCCAGCCACATACAGCTAAGGTGGCGGGTTCGAATCTCCAGCCCGGGCCCGCCAAACAACAATGATGGCTGCAACTAAAAAATGGCCGGGCGTTGTGGCGGG